GCTCTGTTACCCAGGCTGGAGTGCAGTGGTGTGATCTCGGCTCACTGCAACCTCTGCCTCCCAGGTTCAAGCGACTCTCCTGCCTCAGCCTCCGGAGTAGCTGGGATTACAGGTTCCTGCCACCACACCCAGCTAATATTTTGTATTTTTAGTTGAGATGGGGTTTCACCATGTTGGCCAGGCTGGTCTCGAACTTCTGAACTCACGATCCGCCCACCTCAGCCAACCAAAGCGCTGGGATTACAGGCATGAGCCACCGCTCCTAGCCCCATGTCTTCATTTTTCATGTTAAGAGAGAAGATATTTTTTCTTTCAGTGTCATTAAGGTTACTATAGATTTTCAGGAATAAAAGTAAACCCAATGGAGGGAAAATCTTTTCTATGGCAGATGGTTTTTAATATATCAAGGTTTTGCCATTTGTTTTAGTGCTTAAAATAAACATTATTTATAAGACCACTTACATTTTGATGTTACTTAATGAGGAATATGCATCATTGATTTGACTAGCTTAAGAGGTCATTTAGAACTTGCCCGTTAACAAGCTGTAATCTGCTGAGCACACAATGACTTTGTTGAAAATTATCTATTCAGAGCTGATCAATGACAATAATTGTTTTATACCAATCACTTTTGAAAGTTGCTAATTACTTTGAAGGACATGAATACAAGTCATTTTTCTTTTTTTTTTTTTGAAGTCATAACCCATTCACCTTGAAATTAAGAAGAAATGTTATAAAAAAATCATCTTGCTGCTTGAAAGTACATTTAAAAAAATTAAAAGTGTATTTACTAGTACTGGAATATTAACAGAATATTTAGGCAAAATTTAAGATGTCATTTGTTTCTATAACAGGAAATATAGTACAGTCTCATCTATATTGTATTTTACAATATCAGTTAGCTATTAGTTAAACTAGTCTCCCTATAATATAAGAAAATACTATATTTTAAACTAAAGAACACGCATATACTCTCTCTCTTTATACAATATATATGTAAGGTGTTTTAGTGGAAAGAGTGGGCTTTGAAGTAAGACAAACCTGGGTTTGTATTCTGACTTTCCATTTACTGTTTTACTGGTTATGTGACCCTGAGCAAATTACTTAACCTCAGTTTCTTCATTTTTAACATGGAGATCATGCCCTGTTCACAAGGATATTGTGAGAATAAAAGCAGTTAGCATAATACCTGGCACATTCATGGAGCTCAATAAATTTTAGATCCTTCATTTCACTGATGGCAGCTTCTTCACCCACTCAAATGCTGTTTCCTCCAGATCTTTTTATCCACTCATCTCTAAGAAAGCCACTTAAAGACTGATTGATTATACTTTAGTGTGGATGAGTTTTAATTTGTTACCTTAACCATCACTTACTTATTACATTCTTTAATATCCAATTTTGAATGAAAGGAATTATCTTGGAGAGGAATTTTAGCCAGACTTTGGAGAGATGCGTCGGGTGTCAGGACATTAGAATGTTTTCTGAAAGCATACCAGTTGTAGTCTCTCTAGACATGGTTGGTGCTGTTTCCAATAGTTGCTGGGTTTGGAGAAGGAAAGAGCCCATGTTGTTGCATTTTTTCTGTTTTCATTACAAGAAACTCTTCTTATTTGAACACAAATCTTTCAGCCAATTTCAGTTTTTTTCCTTCAACATCTCTTTCTTAGAAATGGGAATATCCACTTCTCTGATATTACCAAATCATAAACCCCCATCATTCTTCCTTCCTCACAGTATGCCAACATGCATCTTTTGTGTTTTCTGGCACATTTAATCTTATTTTATTTGTAATTTAGTGATATTTTAATGTGATAGGTAGCCCCTCCCTTAATACTATTTGATATCTTAATATTTTCCTATGCAACTTGAATAACTTCTATTGCTGATGATGGATTTCCTGTCAGTACACGTATTTACAAGTGTTCCCTTCATTAATAAAATCGTTACTGTATATGTAGTAAAAGTATGCTGAAACATTTGAAGCCATCCAACCAGCTATAAGACCTTAGGCAATTAGTTAACCTCTCTAAACTTCAATTCCCTCTTCTCTCAAATGAGGCTAATAATAATCTCCATCTCAGAATGATGCTATAGTGATCAAATTAGATAAGCTAGGAAAATATGCACTTATTTGCATGTATGATTTATATATGTATACATATTCCAATTGATTCTTCTTTTTCATTAGGAAAGTGGTTCTGTCAATTCCTCGTTTTTCCTTCTCAGTCATAATATAATATTGGTAAAATTAGGAAGAGTTTCTAAATTGAGTATATAATTTTAGAATTTTTTTAATTTAAAGAATTGATCTTGCAAATAAGATCATTTGAGAAGTATTTCAAAAGACACTTTGAATACTTTTGTTACATTAGTTTGCTATACTACTAGTTTCACTTTCTAAAGTTATTGTTGGCTGGGTGTGGTGGCTCATACCTGTAATCCCAGCATTTTGGGAGGCCGAGGTGGGAGGATTGCTTAAGGTCAGGAGTTCAAGACCAGCCTGGCCAACATGGTGAAACCCTGCCTCTACCAAAATTACAAAAATTAGCTGGGCATGGTGGCACATGCCTGTAGTCCAAGCTACTCAGGAGGCTAAGGCAGGATAATCGTTTGAACCCAGGAGACAGAGGTTGCAGTGAGCCAAGGTCATGCCACTGCACTCCAGACTTGGTGACAGAGTAAGACTCCATTGAAAAAAGAAAAAGGCTGGGCGCGGTGGCTCATGCCTGTAATCCCAGCACCTTGGGCGGATCATGAGGTCAGGAGATCGAGACCATCCTGGCCAACATGGTGAAACCCCGTCTCTACTAAAAATACAAAAATTAACTGGGCATGGTGGCACGTGCCTGTAATCCCAGCTACTCATGAGGCTAAGGCAAGAGAATCGCTTGAACCAGGGAGTTGGAGGTTACAGTGAGCCAAGATCATGCCACTGCACTCCAGCCTGGTGACAGAGCAAGCCTCCATCTCAAAAAAATAAATAAAATAATTAATTAAAATAAAGTTATTGTCTCTGATTTACTTGTTCTTACAAGCTGTTTTGCATATTTTCAGTTACTTTAGTAATTCTCGTACTGGGAGTCTGACAAAAACGCTATCTTATAATCGTCATGTTTAATATCTTTTTTTTTCTTTTGAGATGGGGGTCTCACTTTGTCACCCACGCTGGAGTTCAGTGGCACAATCTCGGCTCACTGCAACCTGCGCCTCCCCAGTTTAAGCGATTCTTCTGCCTCAGCCTCCCGAGTAGCTGGGACTACAGGCGCATGCCACCATGCCCAGCTAAGTTTTGTATTTTTAGTAGAGATGGGGTTTCACCATATTGGCCAGGCTGGTCTCGAACTCCTGACCTTGTGATCTGCCCGCCTTGGCCTCCCAAAGTGCTGGGATTACAGGCATGAGTCACCATGCCCAGCCATGTTTAATATCTTAAATTGCAAAATGGTTATAAATGACCTTTTAAATGGCTGTATTTTAAAAGAGAGAAAAATAAAGAATCAGAATTTAAATAAACAATTTTTTCGGTTTACTTTTTATTGATCCAATATTCAACTTATACAAATTTTATACTAAATATTTTTTAGCTAAAAGAAAGTAGACTTTGGGGATAAAACCCAATGGACTGGTGCTTAGTCTCTATATTTCCCTTTTCTATTAAAAAAAAAAAAAAGTTTAGGGAAGATGTGTGTTCTCTTAGCCTAGCAAACTGTGCTAAAGTTGGTAAGACTTCATGTCCGAAAAGAGAATCGTTTATGATACATGAGTTGTTCATATAGATATTTAAACTGTTGGAAAATTTTAGGGGGAATGATGCTAAATCTTTATGCAAGACTAAGTTAATATTTTTCAATATGTGCTATTTCTTTTTCCTCTAATCCTTTAAATAATTTAGCTGTTTTTTCCTAATTAATATCATATATTACTTCGAGTTTTTCAAATGGTGGTATTAGAAAATATAGCAAAAATATTTATATTAACAAAGATAGGACTTAAGGACAGTGACTGATTCTCATGGTTCTTGGGGTTTTATAAGATATCTAGAAGCTGAATTAGGTATGGTCTCTCAGACCCCTAACATTCCTCTCATCCAAAAAAAAAAAAAAAAAAAAAACCACCTTACTTTGATGATATGTTCTAGTAAAAATAAAACTATTTGAATGTCAGCATTGAAGTAAAAGATGGAAGAAGCAGATAATTTCAATAAAAATGTTCTTTTATTGAAAATCACAGTTCTCTTTGTTCCCAGTTCTACATTGCAATGGTTATGAGAGTGGGCTCTCTGAAGCCCTAACTTGAAATTTGATTCCTAGATTCATCCTAATAGCTATATAATTATAGGAAAATTGTGTAACCTCTCTTTTTAACTGTTTCCACATCAGTAAATAAGGTAATGAGTATTTATGTCATAGTAGTATTCTAAAGATTAAATACATAAGTGTAAGCAAAAACCCTTAGATTAACGCCTGGCACATAATAACTCAATAAATGTTAGTTATTGTTGCTATTGTTAAGGAAGTATTAAAATGTCATAATTAAGATACAAGAATTTGTTTAAATATTTTGATACCACTGAATTTAAGAAGCCCATTAATGAGACAAAATACAAAAACTAAATGTGTATTTCAATGAGACCAAATACAATCTTAAAGTGAGTTGGTTATGAAAAAAAAATCCATTTGCCCAGGAAGTGGAAATGGTAGGAATTTATAAAGCAAATGTTTATAAATCTTTCCATAGTTTAGTATTCTGTGAAATAATTATAAATAATTTAAAATAAATTATAATAGCCTATAATTATGTTTATTTTTATAATATTTCATAATAAATTTATTAGGAGAACCTATATTTACAGCTAATATACTGTTATATTAATGGAAAAGCCTAAGACTTTATTTGATAGGAGTTATCAGCCATAATTACCTTAATTTTGAAGTGCTATTACATTTTTTAATGAAAGTATTTACTGGCATATTTTATCTCTTTATTTACTTTAATAGATTCAGAGACGATGGCGAGGCTATAGGGTTCGGAAATACCTCTTTAATTATTATTATTTGAAAGAGTACCTCAAAGTCGTTTCAGAGACCAATGATGCAATTAGGTAAGTAGTGCAATCATCCGTTCACTAGGGAAAACCTTGGAAAGATTACTCAATAGATGTTGATCAATACCATAGTTAGAAATACTTTTTTTGTTGTTGTTGTTGTTAGACAGAGTCTTGCTCTGTTGTCCAGTCTGGAGTACAGTGGTGCAGTCTCGGCTCACTACAATCTCCGCCTCCTGGGTTCAAGCAATTCTCCTGCCTCAGACTCCTGAGTAGCTGGGATTACAGGCGCCCACCACCATGCCTGGCTAATTTTTTTCTATTGTTTAGTAGACATGGGGTTTCACCGTATTGGCCAGGCTGGTCTCGAACTCCTGACCTTGTGATCTGCCCGCTTCAGCCTCCCAAAGTGCTGAGATTAAAGGCATGAGTCACTGCACCCGCCTAGAAATACTTTCTAAAAGTCAGTGATATTTAGGCAGACGTTTACTGATTTTTTATATATATATATATATATATAATATATGATTCTATTTACCTTAATTTATTATTTTTATATTTTTAAAATCTTGTATCCTTCACTGCAAGTTATTTATGTGTGTAGTATCTTGTATATTTATTTATTTATGTAGTATCTTGGTCCTATACACAATAGTTTCAGGAAAATTTTTTCATGATGAGATGAATTTATCTGTAAAACGATCTAGAGATGCAACATTAAATATGAAAAGCCTCAGATGCATTTGAGAAACATGTTCCATAGCAAGAACTTGCCTCTTCTAGAATAAAATATCGTGAGACGTATTAAAAAGATCTGTTCACTGTCAGTTTTGATTTGCTTAAACACATAGGAAGATAGGACATAGGTTTAGGATATGGCATCTGTAGAATTATGCAAAGTAAAGGCATCGTAATACTACTCAGCAGCTTTTCCAAAGTTCTATATGTTAAGTTTCCATATTACTTTGAAAATAGCTTTTTCCTCCTGTGATATGTCCCATTCTAATAACATGTAAATGACCATATGCATATAGTACATTTTGATAAAAAGGAAATATTAATTAATAATAGTTGGTATTTATAGAATAGTCTCACTTTCAAAATATTTTCTGCATATATCATATATTATCTTATTTTACTCTTTGTTTTCTTTATTTTTGAGACAGAGTCTTCCTCTGTCATGCAGGCTGGAGTGCAGTGACACTATCTCAGCTCACTGCAGCCTCTGCTTCTGGGGTTCAAGTGATTCTTGTGCCTCAGCCTCTCGAGGAGCTGGGATTACAGTTGTGCGCCACCATGCCCAACTAATTTTTGTATTTTTAGTGGAGATGGGGTTTCACCATGTTGGCCAGGCTTGTCTTGAACTCCTGACCTCAGGTGATCTGCCCACCTCGGCCTCCCAAAGTGTTGGGATTACAGGCATGAGCCACTGCGCCCAGCCCCTTATTTTACTCTTTAAAATTTTTGAACTGAAGAGAACAAGTAATTGGCAAAAAATTATTAAAATAAAAGTTTCGTATGAGACCCTAAAATAATATGTATTATAAGATATATATGAAAACTAATTTCCCAACTACTAACTTTCTCACATATGTTGTGAATATAAAGGGATCTAGTCTTTGAGGATTACCTACAGAGAAATCTGTTAATTTGATTTCTTTGGAAAGAGAGCAGTTAAGGTGGGAAGGCTTCAATAGGATTCAGTCGATGGGAGAAGTTGGAAAATTCAGAAACACATGAATCATAGGGAACTACTGTTTAATTTCTCCTTGAAACATCTACAATTCTAAAGACTAGCTGACTGTCTACAAATGGCTGACTTTAGCTTGTCAGGAGAAGAGCTAGTAGAATTTACAAGAGAGAAGGAATACATGCAGGACTGGAACTAGGGTAAGACAAGTGAGACTTTTAAGGGAGGGAGGTGCTCACTCTCAGGGTCACAGAACTTATCAACCTTGAACTTTCATAACCCCAAGAGTAAGTATGTCCTTCAATTCTGCACTTCAGGGGCCTTACTTGCTTCACTCTTGTCTGAGCCCCGAATAGGAGAAAGTCAAGGGCGCAAACAGGTGAAGAGGTAGTTTTGGAAAGGTCTGAATCTTCTATTTGACAGATATTTCCAGTAATTCTTATTTTCCTCCTGATTTTAACGGGATATCTGTAGTCAGTAGAGAGTCTGGTATATCAGTGTTGTAAATTTGTTTTAGAGTGGAATTCTTTAGTATATTACAGAACCATTCTATTATTTCTAGCTCTCTTAGAGTTTTTTAAACTAGGAATGGAAGTTGACTTTAGCAAATGATTTTCTATCATGTATTGAAATAATTATATAGGATTTTTCTTTTTTATTTGCTTTTTCTTTTTTATATACTAACATGCATAGAGCTATATCCTATTAATAGATGTACTAATATTAAACCATCATTTATTTTAGGAATACATCCAACCAGGCCATTGTTAATTATTCTTTTGATTTTTCACTACATTATTAGTATTTTATATAGGATACTTACATCCTCTTCTGTAATGTGATTGGTTATACAGCGGTCCCTCTTATCCATGGTTTTGTTTCTGCACTTTCAGTTATTCATAGTACAGTAAAATCAGCTATTTTGAGAGAGAACAAGAGAAATAATGAGTGAGAGCACCCATTTGTATTATCTTTATTACAGTATATTGTTATACTTGTTCTATTTTATTTTTTGTTTTTGTGGCTAATCTCTTACTGTGCCTAATTTATAAATTAAACTTTATCATAGGTATGTATGTATGGGAGGCAACATAGTATTTACAGGGTTCAATATTATCTGCAGTTTCAAGCAGCAACAAAAAGCTTTGGAACATACTCTCTGTAAATAACAGGGGACTAGTGTAATTTTCTTTCTTATATTGCTATTGTCAGATACTAGTGTCAGATTTTTGCCATATTTATTAAATGAATTAAGTAGATTTTTTTGATATGGGGATTACTAGTCTTTGGAAGTTTAAAATAAATTATTTATAAAACTCCCTGGACCCCAAGCCTTTGGGGGAAGGTAAATCATTAACATTTCCAAACCCTAATTCAGGTTTTTATAAATTTATTAGAGTCCATTTTATTTCCAGATAATTATTAGTTCACTGACATTTAAATATATCTAATGTTATTTATGATATTTTAATTAAAATATGTACTTTAGTTGTTTTAGTCCATTTCTCATTATTTAATTTACTTATTTAAATACTTCTCTCTTTTGTTCTCAAATTTGTTAGGCTTATCTGTATTTTTTAAGAGAAACATCTCTCAGATTTTTTCTTTTCACTTATTTTTGTTTCTTAATTAGATGTTTTGCTTTCATCTTTAAAAGACCCAAAATTTCTTTGTTTCACAAGTAATACATGCCCCTTGTAGAAAAACTGAAAATGTTTTTTCAGTTTTTCTGAATGTAAAACAAGCTAAATAAAAAGATAATGTAAAACAAGCTAAATAAAAAGTCATTTTTAATTTCATCATTCAGAAATAAATACTATTAACTTTTTTTTTTTAATTTTTTGAGACAGAGTCTCGCTCTGTTGCCCAGGCTGGAGTACAGTGGCATGATCTTGACTCACTGCAACTTCTGTGTCCTGGGTTCAAACGATTTCCTGCCTCAGCCTCCCAAGTAGCTAGGATTACAGATGCATGCCACCACGCCCGGCTAATTTTTGTATTTTTAGTAGAGATCCAGTTTCTCCATGTTGGCCAGGCTGTCCTTGAACTCCTGACCTCAAGTGATCCACCCGCCCTGGCCTCCCAAAGTGCTGGGATTACAGGCGTGAGCCACTCTGCCCAGCCTATTAACATTTTGATGTATGTTCTTCCAAGCCTCTGCCACTTATTAGCTGTGTGACCTTGGGCAAATTCTTTAATTTCCCTTATCTTAAATCTCACAAAGTGGGGAAAGTAACAGAATGGCTACATAGATTTATTATAACCATAAATAAGTCAGTATATGTGAAATACTTAAAGAGTGCCTGGTATATAATGTGCACTTAATAAATGTTAGTTTATATTTTTTATTTCTATGCTTACGTAGATATATTTTATAAAATGGCATCATACAATATGCTATTGTTAACCTGTTGTCTTTCAATTTACAAAACATTGTGAACATTTTCATGTCATTAGCTATGCCACTATCATTGTTCATAATAGCACTTATTTATTCATTTATTTGTGATGGAGTCTCGCTCTGTTGCCCAGGCTGGAGTGCAGTGGTGCAGTCTTGGCTCCACCTCCTGGGTTCAAGTGATTCTCTTGCCACAGAGTCTCTTGAGTATCTGGAATTACAGGCGCCTGCCACCATGCCTGGTTAATTTTTGTATTTTTAGTGGAGATGTGGTTTCACCATGTTGGCCAAGCTGGTCTTGAACTCCTGACCTCAAGTGATCCACCTGCCTCAGCCTCCCAAAGTGCTGGGATTACAGGTGTGAGTCAATGCTTCCAGCTCCATGATAGCTTTTAAATATTTTTTATTGTTGGAGATACAGTTGTTCTAAATTTTTGCTATTGTAAACATCGTGTTATTTTAGTACTACTACTAGTTAATATGGAGTTTCTTACAGTTCTTGCATTCATTACTCTCTTTACTGCTTTTTTAGTAATTAAAACATTTAGGCTATGATGTGTTTCATGTGTAATATTGTCCACATTTAATATATTTTTATATATAATGTTCTTATATTCTAATTGCATTTTTTAATATTCTCTTTGAAATTCATTTTTCAATCTCCAGTGACTTGGCTGTTTCTCGTAGTTTAAACATAAAACAAATTTATTTCTAGGTTTACTGTGTTGTAGTCAGAAAATATATTTGGTGCAATTATTATCTCAGGGAAATTATTTAGTTTTTCACCTTTTATATACGGTCACATACCACATAATGATGTTTTGGTCAATGACGTACGACATTTATGATGGTGGTCCTATAAGACTATAATACGATACTTTTACTGTACCTTTTTTATGTTTAGATATGTTTAGATCCACAGATAGTTACAATTGTATTACAGTTACATATAGTATTCAGTACAGCACC